GGATCTCTCCAGTTTATGTGGGGTCAGATGATGGAGTGGACTCCAGAAATGATCAGAAGCTACGCTCAGCATTTTACGAGTGAGTTGAGGAACATGGACCTTCATCCGTACTTTGTCTTCCGTGGGGTGTACGGGCAGAAGCCATTGGATGCTTAGTGCACGGCTGGGCAATAACACGGACTGGGACTGGTCGATCTCTCACGTTTAAAGGCCAGGTATATGATAACGAGTCTCTCTTTCTTTTTTTGTAAATAGTCCACAATGTATGGAGCTGACACTTCGGATGACGGTCGCAATGTTCGACAGGGTTGACCTCAGACCGGGCGTGTGCATTCAGCCCTACCCGGCCTCCACCCCGTTGCTCCGCGATACGGAAATGCTCGTAGCGTCTCGGACTATCCTTGTACATAACTGCGTTCACGTACGTGCATACCTATGAATTGAGGCGGATGACGTGGCCGGCCAAGAACAAGTAACGGCAAATGTACCATAATCTTAGGTACCTTGCTTGTCGACAAAGCAAGCGTGGGAATGATGTGACACCGGCAGGAGGATGCCTTTAGAGTACGTCTACAGAGAATCAATTGCTGAGGGGACCTTGCCGAAAGCATGCCGATTAACCCGAACCCGATACCGGGTCCGGGGACCCGGGGACACAAAGCACCTAAGTACAACGTGGCACGGATAAGGCGAAAGCAACAGCGAAGAGCCCTGTTCATGAAACGGGGTCGAGGAGACAGAATGCAAGGGGATTCATAGTTCAAGGACAGTTCCCAATGACGACATAGGAATTATGATAAGAACAAGTGATATTCGGTTCATTATTTACATGAGAGACTTGAGACCGGCCACAATGATAACCAAAACATGGGCATTCAAATCTGCAACATCAAACCGGCCTTTAATGTTGCGTCGGTTGTCCACCCTTAAGTGTCCAGCGGCTTTTGTCCCCTCACCACGCGCCACTTAGAGTTAGAATGGATCTTGCGTTCTCTGATCTCCTTGCGCATAATGGAGGCGTAGTTATGGATCTCCTGCGGGGTCCAGTTCTCGTAGTTGTGCAAGAGGTAGGTAAGGAAGCCATCGACGTCGTGTGTCAGCGTTGCAGACAGGTTGAGGCCTACCTGCTTCATCTTCGGGTCATCAGACTAGGGCGAGAGGGGAACCTAGATTCTCGGGGGTTAGCTTAAGCTCATCCAGTCTCAGGTCAGGCGCTTGCGGACGGCGGAAAGTCTTACATAGATCACTTCAGTGGTAACGTTGGTAAACCCAGCTTCCTTCAATCCTTCCACTATGACGTCCGAAGAAACGATATCGAACTCAGTCCCGATGTGCTTTCCAAGCTTCTTCCAAATTGGACCCTATTGGCCCATGGCGGAATCTTCAGGCATCGTTCCATCAAGGCAGTGCCATGTACCATCGTCATCAAGATGTTCGATCCATCCACCGGGCGCCGTACATTTATACGCCTCTTTATAGAGGGCAGGCCAATCTGCAATGGTGCCAGTGAGCCAGGGAATGTGAATGTAGTCGAAGTAGTTCGGTTGAAAGGTCCATTCCTTCTTTGCGTCTTCGATTTCGAAGCGGGCGTTGGAAGGTACCCAGCTAGGTTGAATCGGGGAGATATCGGTGCCAGTTACAGTGCAATTAGGATGTTCGTCCGCAAAGTCACTGTGATGAAGGAAAAAGAAGATGTTAGCAATCGAATATCGACCCAGAAATCATGTCTGACAAGTTTGTCTTACATGGCCCAGACTCCTGCAAGTAAAAATGATCAGTAAAGTGCAGTAATAGGGAAAGAGCAAGGGCCGTCAAAGTTCATCAGCTTACCAGTGCCGGTACCAATGTCAAGAGCTGTCCGAATTTTATCCTTGTCGAGCGGGGCCGCGTACAGCTTCCTATCGAACAACCTAGTCATGTGTGACGAACCGTTACAAGCA